GTGAGGAGGAGGAGGAGGAGGAGGAGGAGAAGGTCTCATGCTTCACACCCTGGAACCAACTCTTGTCGTGTAAGCTTTGACGACCCCAATTACCTTCCAGTGTACCATCAGCCCCTACCTCTTCCTTCCCCAATCCTCTCCCATCCACTTCCTCCTCCTTCCCTTTCCCGTCCTCGTCTCTCTCCTCCTCTCCCCCCCCCCTCCTCCTCTCCCCCTCCTCCTTCTCTCTCACCTCTCCGATCGCTGTGTGTGGAATTCCGAGACCCGTGAAGCATCCGCCTGCACGGACGAGAGTCACCACCACAGGCACATCCTGCTGCTACTGCTGCTGCTCGCCTCCTCCTCCTCTTCTCCACTTCCTCCTCCTCCTCCTCCCCTCGCCCTCTCGTTCTCTTCTCACCGATGGTGCAGTTTGACGAGGTCACGAAGGGATAAGTTCCATAGTCGATATCCTGCCATCTCATCATGCTGCTGCTGCTGCTGCTCCTCCTCCTTTTTCTCCACACACACCCATCCTCTCCTCCGACCGTGCTGCTCACCCTTCTCCCTCTCCCTTCCCTTCCCCCCATCCCTCTCTCCCTCTCGATTCTCACAAGCATCGCCGCGTTGGCTCCCTCGATGAGGATTTTCTTGCCGGAAGCGACGGCCTCGTGGATGTAGTCCACTGCACATCATGTCAGCCCAGGGGCAGGGGCAGGAGCAGGAGAGAAAAGAGAACATGCGCACGACGAAGGGGAGAAGCACAGGAGGAGCTGATGTTAAGGGAGAGGAGAAGATGGCTTAATGATGATCGAGCATGAGGAGGAAGAAGAGGAGCAACAGGAGGAGGACCTGTATCGACGACATAGGGCTTGAGCTTCTGAGCATACTCTTTGTACCTGCTGCATCCTCAGACTAGCTCGTTCGCTCAACTTCGCAACCGCTGGATCTCCTTCTCGATGTCAATCACGCCAGTGGGAGCTCCCCTGCCATCCTGTCATGTCGGTCCGATACAGTGAAGCTCCTTTTCCTCTCCCTCTCCTCTTTCTCCTCCTCTCTCCTCTTCATCTTCCTCCCTCCTCTTTCTCTTCCTCATCCTCTCTCCCAACTATGTTCCTCATCTAATCCTTCTCCCTGTCATCTACATTTACCAACTCCATAACACATCACTGCTTCTGATTTTCACTTCTCCTCTCCTCCATGCTATTTGTATTCACCGCCACTACCTCAACCATCCTCCCTTCTCTTCTCGTCCCCATTAGCTGTGCTGTTCCCCCTCCCCATCCCAATTTTCTCCTCCGCCTCCTCCTCCCACCCACATCCTCCTCTCCTCCTCCTCCTCCTCCTCCTCCTCCTCCTTACCTGTAAGTGGGATGCTCAAACTTTTGACCAAACCTGGGAGCATCCACGTCAAGATCCACATCTTTTCTCCTCTCCTCCCCTACTGCTGCTCAAGGTCCGCAAGATTCTTCCTCTGCAACCCTCCAATCAGTTCCCAGCTGCGGCCGACCTCAACAGCTTCTCAGCTCACCAGCTTCGCCTCGAAGTACTCGAAGTCATACAAGTCTCCCACGCGCAGCCTTTCATTCTCTCACTTGCTCTGGAGCTCCGACCGCCATGACTCACCCCGTGCGATGTGCCTTGCTGCTGAGGGCAGGGCCGATGCCTGGACAAGCAAGTTAGCTGCGTGATGATGATGATGATGTTCATTATGATATTGATGGTGATGGTGATGGTGGGATATGGATTTTGGAAATGAATATGGATATGCACATGGAGAGATGATGTTGGTGACGATGATAATATAACACAAATGTCCACTTGTCTGTGTGCAATCTGCTTTCTCCTACCTCTCTTCGTGGTTCCGATGGCTGTCTTGCCGAGCATGGCTTCCCGGACCTTCTCCTTGTCAACTAGATCTTATCCTCCCCTCATTCTTACTCCGTCCTCCCACTGGTGGTAGTCCAACACAAGGTGAGCTCTGATGAGCAGAGCAATTCAGAAAGCAAGCAAGGGGACGCAAGGACGAGGGGAGAGCAGGAGGAAGAGACAGGAGGGGAAGAGAGGCGGGAGAAGAGGGAGAAGACGAGAGGAGAGGAGGGCAGATAGGGCAGAGAGGCGAGGAGAGACGAGACGAGAGAAGAGAGGAGAAATGGGATTGGGGAAGGGGGAGGGGGGAGGGGGGAGGGAGGGGAGTCGACGAGGGGAAGGGAGCGTCACCTGCTGGAAACAAAGATCCTTCCTTCGACATGGAGAGGAGCGCCCCCTAGTGTACACCCATGAGGTCGACGACAAGGCAAGAAACCAAACGCACCGTCAGACGGGTTTGTGATGTCTTCAATCTCATTGAAGAAGGAGGGAATGTGAACAACCACTCCGTTTCCTGTCTAGCTCGTCAGAGAGCAGCTCAACAAGTCGCCCTCCGGATCTCTCAAACTTACCGATGACACAGGTCGTGTTAGTGTGGACAAGGCCAGAGGGTAGCTGGACATTCCATAGTGAGTGGTTGAGCTCACAAACAGCAAGTGAGGGGGATCATGGTGACAACAAGGATGAAACATTCGAGATGTTCCTACCAAGTGAAACTTGTAAACGCTGTTTCCAACCTAGAAGTGCGTATATGAGACAGTGTCGATTTTCCCTATCCCACTCAACACACCTTGATGGTATGGCCAGCATTGGAGCCTCCCTGGCATCGGGCTACGATGTCCATGTCTCTGCAAAGAACATCCACAATCTTTCCCTGTGCTCATTCACAAAAGTTAATCCAAGTAATGTGAAGGAACAAGCCTTCATTTCAACAACAACATCCAACAAAGCACCATGGACGGGACATTTCACATCTTCTGGTCGTCATGTTCGCATGTGAGGGAGCAGCATTATCAAGTATCAAGCATGGATTGTCGTCAAAACTGCCATGTCGCTCCCCCTCACCTTTCCTTCGTCTCCCCATTGCGCGCCAAGAACGACCACTGCCATGCTCACTGGCCCCCGTGTGCTCGGGAATGGGGGTTGCCTTCCAGCAGGGGTAGGTGGTCCAAACAACCCGGGTACTGTCAGAAAAGGGTGGGTACATCTAGCATAATCATTTTCATCGGGTAAACTTTTGAAATATTTAACGTAAATTTTCTATCACAGGTCATATTTTGAGAAGCAATTACGATATTTCATTCCATGGTCATTTGTTGACTCAAAGATTATGGTAGGGGTACATTATGTGAGGGTAGGGGTACCACAAGCAGGGGTAGTATGTGTTAGATCCTGGTGGGTCTACACCCTCCTCAACACCCCCTACCCCCTCAGTTCCTAGAGTTAAGGATCACATTTGGATGGATGTCGAGCATCACCTCTAGCTTTTCATTTCTTCAAATGGATCTATAATTCCAGATGCTTATCCTTCCTTGTTCTTCTTTTGCAGTCCGTTTTTGAACCACCCTGGGCACCACTACCCCCTTAGCTGTGATGTCCTCAATCACTCGTGCGGCCTAGGAATGTAACCGACACATAACGGTACCGGAGTCTGAGTTTACTAAGTTAATCGGGCGGCCCGACCCGGCCGCCCGGCCGCCGCAAGTCACTCCTGCTAGGCTAGCTAGTGCACAGGCTGAGATGAATGATCGGACTCCTAGCAGAACAGCTCAACATCTACTCTCCGATGATGTGCGCAGGGCCGGGCTTAAGATCTTGGACACTTCGAACAGCTTCCGAACTCGCCGGAAGTTCCGGGCCACGGTCCACACTCAGGACGCGGGCCCGGCACCACCACCGTCCGTGACCTAGGCTTCCCACACTGGGGACTGCAGCACTTCGGAAGTTCCGAGCCGAGTGCTGCCACGGTCCCGGCAAGGGCCCGGCTGAGAGCACAGCAGACCAAAGACTGATACAAACACAACTGAGGCAAACACACCCGGCGCAAACTCAGTAGCCTGATCAAATCGGACCGTGACGCCATGCCAGTGGCATGCTGAGATCGGACCGGGTGCCAGGAGGCCCCCCGGCCGGGCGTCAACGTGACGGTGCAAGAGAACTTCCGTCGGACAGCAACAATGATCCGAAAGATGTCGATTGAAATCATTGATCATCGAATTTCAAACTAGAGCCAGTGGTTCTAGTTTGAAATCATTGATTTCAAACTAGAACCACTGGGCTCCCTGCCGCACGAGTCTCACACTGTTATGACCGGCGAGCCTTCGTCGGAGAGCGGCATGAAGCCATGAAGGTGTCAGAGCCAGGCACTCCGTCACTGAGCCGCGATGATCAGTGGCGGCAGATACCCTTATCGAGAGTCAATCTCTATCGGCCCGGACCGGCCTACTAGTCAATATGCCCGTGGCTCTGAGTGCCCGGGCCCGCGGCCCCGGCCGCAGGCTCACTGGCCGGAGTCAGGCCGGCGCCCGGCCCGGGCGGGCCGCCGTACCGTGACTCTGTTTGGGAGAGGGGATTTCATTATTACTACCGTTGAACGATTTGCCATCAAAACTCCAAAGATTTAACTACCGAATAATTTTAGTCCATCAAACTTTGTACTGATAAATCTACATTGAAGTTATTAACTGAATATTTGTATGTGATTACATGACCCCCACTTGTAGAAATTTGCCGGTGCGGAACTCGAAAAGCGGCGTAGGAAATTCGAAGGGGTGGGGTTAGTATGAAGAAGAGGGGTAGTGACACTAGAAGAAGGGGGTGATGATTGAAGGGAAGATTGGCGGTAAGGTGGGGTAGTACCCAGAGCCACTGCGTCCCGGCCTAATCATATCGTTAACATGATGCGGACTGAGATGCCAAGAGCACAGAGAAGGAGGGAGAGGGAAGAAGGGAGGGAGGGAGGGAGGGAGGGAGGGAGGAGATAGAGGAGAGAGAGAGAGAGAGGGAGAAGGAATGGAGGGAGTGATCGGAGGAGGGAGGGAGGAGGAGGGAGAGAAAGAAGAAGGAGAGGGAGGGAGGGAGGGAGGTGGGGAGGCGTGCAGGAGGAGGGACAGATGAAGGGCAGTAGCCTGAGAATAGCTCTCACAGAAGCAGGAAAGATTTTGAAGGAGGGCAGGAGTGGGTTGAGCTTGCTACTAGAGATTTCAAGGTGATGGGTCTCATGACGAAAGGATCCAATCATAAAAGGCAGGAGCAGCATCATGCAGTGAGCAGCACAAGTTGTTTGAGTTGTTTCTCTGCATAATCGCTTGCTGCCTTTTACCCTACATCTTCGGATACGTTGAGAGAGAGAGCTCAGAGCAGTAGAGATCTGATTGCAGCGCTCTCTTGATATTGCTCCTGACATTCAGTTTGCTCCTTCCTCACAGATCTACCTCAGACCTCAATGAGCTCGTCTCTACGTCTAGCCTCGGAGCCGGTCTCAGCCAGCTTTGTCTTCTCGGAGAAACAGCCCTTTCATCTTGGCCTCGGCAAGATAGAGTACTCCGATGACCCTCCTGCCCACAACGAGAGCCTGTCGGGTGACGGACCGGCGCAGCAAGAGTCGGTGGTGCATCGATGTTGGAACATGCTAGGGGATGGAAGTGAGGAGATAGCCTTGCAGTCGCCCCACAAACTACATGCAGGAGCTCGGAAAGAGGTTGCTGGCACTCCGCAGAAGGGCAGCGGAAGGATCGTTGAGGAGGGGGAGAGGTCGAATGATCCTCCTCTGCAAGAAAGTGTGTCGTACATCAAGGTATGACGGCTAGAATCCGTTGTTGCCTCCTGTGGTTGGAGGTGACTTGCCTGGTGCAGACGATCTTGGAACATACCAGGCAGTCGCTGCAGCCGGCAGAGCATTCTGACTCGGTTTCTGAAGACTCTGAGGTTTCTTGTAAAGCCGTTGGAATCTGAGATCCTGATGAGTCGAGTAGCAAAATGACAGAGAGTTGAAAGAGATATCCATGAACAAACCTGCGCCCTCCGGAGCCAAACCAAGGAAAAACAAGAACAGAGACTTTGGGGATGGTATGGGAGGCTGCGTGAACATGGTCGAGGATAACCTGTTGCGTCATGACAGACAGCATTCTGAAGAGATCCAAGACGATTGAAGACGCAGAGAACTCCCCTCCTTCTCACGAGGCCCTTGAAGAGGTCTGGGTCAGGTCGACCTCTGGTTCCTTCCTACTTGCTGTCGCTGAAAGTCTGCTGCAGAAGCGTGAGCACGCTCATCCAACCTCACATCGCCCTTTCCAACAAGCAGTACATCCTCGTGGCCCCAGACTCCCTCCAACCTCTGCCCTCCAGCGATCGGCGGCTGCAGAGCCTCAAGGTAGGGCCGTGAGAGGAGGAGAGGGGGGCGCGAGGGCTGACATGCCGGTTAGAAGGAGACGGGCACTCAGACAGACAGCAAGCCGACGAGACCAGACGGCATTTCATCGCAACCTCCTCTGCCACAGGCCCATCCATCACTGCAGACCCCCCAGCGACAGGCCCAGCAGACCCCCCAGCGACAGGCCCAGCATACCCCTAAGAGTCAGGCCCAGCAGACCCCCCAGCGACAGGCCCAGCAGACCCCTAAGAGTCAGGCCCAGCAGACCCCTCAGCGACAGGCCCAGCAGACCCCTAAGAGTCAGGCTCCCCATCTTCTATCGTCATCCTCACCGATGCCATCGAGCTCAAGCACAACAGCGAGGACGCCCATGTCTCTTCAGCGACCCGCAAGGCCTGCGCCGAAGCTGCTTCCTCCCTTCACCCGGCAGCGCAAAAACTCGAGCAGAAGATCTTTCGGGGGCTCCACCTACTCCTTCATGGAGCTGTGAGTGCCCGGCTGCAGTCAGTGACTCAGTCCGATCGAGGCTCGGCGTTAGTCAGCCGCCGGGCCCCTCGCGGGACGGTGAAGTTTCCAACTTACGGTAGTGACCGGGCCTCAAGTTAGTTATCAAACTTGATAGACTTGACCCTCAGTGTCTCACACAACGCAAGTACGCCGGGCCATGACATGGCCAAGCTCCCCGTGCAGGTCGGTCCCTGACTGCGCAGACTACTTCTTTCATTGCATTACGAGTGGCGGTGGCAATCAGTGGGTGGGTCCTGATACTCATTTCAGTCAGTATTGTTTTCTTGATCCAACCAGCGATATATTCACCTTCTACTGTCTCCTATCCTGCAGTCTGATCGCCCCCTGCTCCTCCCACGATGTACCGGTCCTCTGTGTGACCTGTCAACCACAATAGTCAGCATAGCGCCGAGCTGAGCATCACATTCATGGATGACCTATCCTCCGGTTGGCTCGAATGCAAACAGTAGGCACTCCTGCATTGTATGTATGCAGCCTGATGAGCGTTACGCTCCATCCCTCATGTCAAGAGACAAGCAAAAGCCTAGCATCAGCCAAGGCGGAGTGAGATGGCGACGAGATGCAGCAGAGGGTCATGAGTCGCTCTTAGTTATCAAATGATGCAACGAGGAGACCCATGTAACCTGTAAGCTGCATGGTTGCACTCTGCACTCTTTAGTCCCGCATCCGATGTTGAGGGGCAGATGAAGACAGATGGTTGCAGTGTTGGATGATGACATGCAACGTTGTAGTCGTCGATGGTCCCCTCCTCACCATGAGGATGCAAACGTGATGGACTGGTTGTGAAGATGATGGACTGGTTTTGAAGTTTTTACATCTGCTTCAACATTATGGGCAAGGAAGCGAGTAAAATGCTGCTTCAGGCTGCTGCCAAGCATTTGAGACTGAGCCCTCACACACACAATCACCTTGTTTTGAAGAAGAGTGAGACAGGTAAATAGGTCAAGGCAACCTTTTTGGACACTGCAGAAAGCTTCAAGAACTGTTTTCTTCATTACTTCGCCTTGCTTCAACAAGGAGATCAGAGGAAATCGCATCGTGATGGCTTTTGAAAGTTGCACATGGCGATGGAAACACTTGGAAATCAAGTAAGCGCAAGTAGTTGTATGAGCGTATTACACGTTGCACTACCTCCCATCATGACACGGTTGATCAAGTACAACATGAAAGTGATCAACTAGGTTGCCTTTCAACCTCTACACACTACCCCTGCAAGTCTGTTCCACAGCATGTCGATCTCATCCTGCAGATATCAGCCTGATCGTCTTCCCAGCCCCTTTGCGACCAGCCGCCGCTTCTTGTCGGATCTTTGCCTCGCCTACCACACGCCTCCCCGGCTCATCCTTGCTAACGCCGGTGAGCTCACGCAATATCCATACCCGCTACCTCTGCCTGCCTCCCTTCCTGCCCTCCCTTCCATCCGTACTCCTCCAGCGCACCGCAGCCCTTGATTTTGCCTATCCACTGGCTGTGTGTGTACCCCTTAGTAGCAGCCTTGCGGCAGTGCTGTGCAACCCTCTGGACGTCTTTGTTGCTGGAACCAAGTACTCGTTGGTGGCTTTCAAGCCAAGAGGACGGGTGTCTCTTCCCTACGAGAGAGCCAAGAGGACGGGTGTCTCTTCCCTACGAGAGAGCCAAGAGGACGGGTGTCTCTTCCCTACGAGAGAGCCAAGAGGACGGGTGTCTCTTCCCTACGAGAGAGCCAAGAGGACGGGTGTCTCTTCCCTACGAGAGAGCCAAGAGGACGGGTGTCTCTTCCCTACGAGAGAGCCAAGAGGACGGGTGTCTCTTCCCTACGAGAGAGCCAAGAGGACGGGTGTCTCTTCCCTACGAGAGAGCCAAGAGGACGGGTGTCTCTTCCCTACGAGAGAGCCAAGAGGACGGGTGTCTCTTCCCTACGAGAGAGCCAAGAGGACGGGTGTCTCTTCCCTACGAGAGAGCCAAGAGGACGGGTGTCTCTTCCTTACGAGAGAGCCAAGAGGACGGGTGTCTCTTCCCTACGAGAGAGCATGTTTTCCCCTCGAAGTGCTGATGGGATGTTCAACATCTAAGGAGGCAAGATTGTCAACCTTCATGCAGAGGTACACCCCTGCTTTTTTTAGCAAGGAGCACTACCGGTAGTCCTCTCCTTAGCCTATACAAGGATCAGCCTCTTCAGCTAGCAGGGTCTGTTCTCTCCTCATGTTGTATGTCTCGCTGATCTAGCATCGCTATTGAACCCGACGTCACTACGCTACACCTCTATGTGTCATCAGCGGAGGTGACTTGAACATTCGCTCTAGACGTCAGCAACCCGTAAAGCTTCGGGCTGTCACAACGTTACTTCGAACTTCAAGCAGAAGCTGTACCTTTTTACATAGATCAACTCCCTCAATCGAGAATAGATTAACAAATCCGCGTCAAATCAATCAGTTAATCTGATACAATGAACTATGCTCACATATAAACTAATTTTGTTTTCCTTATCAGGTAGTAGTAACACATATCTTGTATAATGAGGTACAACAGATTTGTCTGAGAGCAAGATACGTGTAAATGTTGTTGATAGAAAATTTAACAATGTTCCCAGTATTTTCTTTATGATTTCCACGAAAACATTCAAAGATAACCCGTCTTCTATTGTACAGGATCTATCATTAAAATCTCAATTTTTTTAAATTCAATTCCATGTATTCTTCATATCATGCTCGCCGATGACAGATTCGCCATTGATACCCCTCGTCGCAGTACCCCCCTCCCCCTCGTCTCCTCCTCCCCTCTCAGCTCCGCAAGGTTCCTGTCGCTCTTCGACCTCATCATGAGCTTCGCCTTGGCATTCTCGATGTTGCTCATGAGCGACTCGCCGTCTGCCTGCACCCGCCAGGAGCCTCGGCCGGGAGACGACGGGGTCGGAGACGCGGGGGAGCTGGAGCCGGTAGAGGCGAGTCTATCGAGGTAGGCTTTCTGAGAAGGGTTGAGGGTGAGCTTGACTTGGGGTCTTGTAGGCGCCATGGAGAGGTGTGGATAGGAAGATGAATGTGGTCGAGAGTGCGTGTGGAGCTTGAATCCTCGATCCAACGAGTGACGAACAGAGGAAGAGAATCACTTAATAGCAAGACCGCAGGAGGAGGAGGAGGAGGAGGAGGAGGAGGAGGAAGGACGTGAGTGGTTGGTGCAGAAGAAGTAGACTTGCAGGTTATCAAGGGAGGAGATCGGGGATTCAGACTCATTCCTACCCTACCCTATAAATGACACATTCTCTTGGGGGTATTTGTACATTGCGGGCCGTAAACCAGATACCAAACGTTGTGATATTCTCAGATATCTCGCGTCCGTGCCAAGAGGCTGCTGCCCGCATCGGTGTAAGACTCCGATCGCGACCTAGGTCGAGGGACCGTGACCAGGGGTCTGTGGAACGTGACCGTAGACTGCGACGGTCAAACGGGCTCTGAAGAAGCCGCAGCTGACACCAGCAATTTGTCACGGGCCTCGCAATTTGAGCCGCTACCCCTACCCCCAAGAACGACTGTTAGCTCAAGTGAGTTGGAGGGTGGCGGATCTGCCAGTCGGTCACCGGGTCTTGACACGTGGACGGGTGTAAGCCCCGGAGAGAACATGAGACGTCAGCTGACCGTTGCTGACCGAGGCGTCCGTTGGGAAGGGGTTCCATTGGTCCTTGACTAAAGATCTCAATACTATCTCTGGCATCTCTGGTTTTTAATGCAGAAGATGAAGCAGTACCGGCATTAAGAAGTTGAGTGAACATTTGACGGTGGTGCGGGCCCGCCCCCGCCGTGATTCTTGCGACAAGTTCATCGTTTGTCCGATCATGATGCGGCAGAGCGGACTGACACTTCAAGTCAGTGGAACCGTTTGATGATTGCGTACGGTATATAATACATGTACGGCCGTATGTGCCAGCCGCCGCCGCCCGGCGCTGACTGAGCAGTGACGTGTGACGATTTGGAAGCCAGCGTAACTTGTTGACGAAAGGGCCCTGCGGAAGGCTTGTGCCTATGCACCAAGGCTCGTCTGTTGTGTGACACGTTGTGTGACATGCACAATACACAAGTGTCAGAGCTCATAGGGACCGAGCCCGAGTCAGACAAAGGCCTATCAGGATGAAAGGACAGTTGGCTGTCTCGTACTCGTGTTTGAAGCTGACTTCTCCTGGATGACCCAGGATACTCTACTCCAGTGTGAAGCTGCTGAAAGGACCCCTGTGGAGGCCTTTGTTGCAGCTACCGTGTACCCGTGGGGGACTTACAAGGTAAACAGAAGGGGTGCGTCTTGTGGAGTACGACCCGTTGGAAGCAGCTTGCTGCCATGCAAGGACGGGGTTCTCTTCCCTGCGAGAGAGCATGGTATCCTCTCGAAGGTCAGAAGGGATGCTTGTCAACTTCTTGAAGGACAGGACACCCCTCCTTTCTGTAGCCAAGAGACGGCACCCCTGGCTCATTCCTCGAAGCTATAAAAGGATGAAACTCGTCAGAGCTAGGTGGTCCTCTTCCCCTTTCGTGTGTGTCCACGATTGTGTGTGTGTGTGAAAGAAATAAAAGAGAGTTAGATCTCCTTCTGTTTCACCGCTTTCCCTCTTAGTAGAGAAATCCAACGTGAGTTCTTATTGAACTGCGCTTGAAGGTCCGTGATCGGTGATAGAGCTCGAGTCTTCTCTCTTCCCCTCCCTTTCTCCACTGTTCTTCTGCTTCTTCCTACGCTTACGTCGCGTAGATGTCCGGATACAATACTCGACTCGCAGCTCGCATGCTGGACGAGAATGCTACGGATACTTTGGAACATGACTGGCAATCTGCTGCCGGCATTGACGACGATCTTCGTCCCGAATCGACCGAGGATCGGTCGCTCCAAAACATGTCTGCCGCGCTGCTGGAGGTTCAGCAGCGGTTGAACGCTCTCGAAGCTCCTGCTTCTTCTGAGGCGGTCCCGCCCGCCGCTCTCAAGCCTGGACCGCCCCCCATCTCCTCGCGTGACGGTCCTCAGCTGGTCTCTCTGGCTGATCAGCAATTGCTTGCTAAGTTGCGCAATCTCCCCAAGTTGGATACTGCCCGCCAAACTAGCGCCAACAATGTCTTGACATGGGTTCAAACCATTCAGTACTCCTTTGCAGTGTATGGTATTCCCCGAGCTAATTGGGTTGTCCATACCCTCGATTTACTGGATGCTCCAGTCCGCCAACACTTCGTGGCCAAGTACCCGCCAGAGACCTTTCGCCGCATGGAGTGGGACACATTTTCGGAGGAAATTCGTGAAAAATTCCTGCCTCCTCACCTGCTGTCGAACCTCATTCACCAACTCGACAATTTGAAATCAAGACCGTCAGGAATCTCTTGCTTCGTATGCTGCCCGAACCCTGACATTAATCGAGCAACTTCAGCTCCTTCCGGATGGTAAATTATTTGCGACGTCCTCGCTGGTCTGCAGACGTTTCATTAACGGCATACGATCGCATATGACTGCCTTACTCTTGAATCAGTGGGCAAGATCGACAATCAGACCAGAACCAAAGACCATTCGACGGGAGCAGATCACCACCGGCAGCTCTACTCCATGCAGGTGGGCAATCGCTCCTCTCCTTCCAATGATCGCAAGAGTCGTCCTTCTGGCAAGGCTTCGGCCTTCAAAGAGCGCCGTGCTGCTCGGCAGGACGCCAGGAGTGCGGGAGACTCCTCGTCCCCAAACACATCGACCAATGCCATCCGTTGTTACAACTGTGGCAAACTCGGACATCGATCGTCCGAGTGTCGTCGTACCCGCCGCAGTCAGAGTCCTGAACGTGAGCAGTCGTCCGACTCCTCCTCTCCGCCTCTGCTTGGCGCTGTTCAGACTTCCGACGACCGCAAGGCTGCTCCGTCCGTTGCAGCTAACAAGATTGCTGCTCGCTCAAAGACGCCTAAGCGCCGTCCTCAGGTGCATTTTGCTGAAGAACTGGGAGATGAAGTGCCTCTGGACGGTGACGCTCTCGAGGTACACTTGCATCCGATTGCACTCCATGGATCGCTTCTCTATCTGCCCATTGTACCACTCACCTCTCCGGTGCCAGCTGCTACTTCCGAGATCCTGGCTTTGCTTGACTCGGGTGCTGAGATCAGTGTGATCTCGCGTCAGGTTGCGCGACAGCTCCAATTGACCACACAGCGTATTCCCGCCACGCTCACCGCTCAGTTCGCTCATGGCGACGCCAAGGTCGTGCTTCGTGAAACCTGTCTCCTGCCGTTTCGCATTGCAGGCACCAATGTTGAAACGCAAGAAACGTTCTTCATTTTGGACCCTCCAGCATCACTGCCGGCGATCTTGTCCCAACCGTTCATTGCCAAGATGAAAATGAATATCGACTTTCATTCCAAGCTCATTACTATTCCAGCGCAGGATGGTACTGCGGGGCGTCAACGCCTTCCGCTCGCATTTCACATCCCTGGTCCTGGCTCCGCGGCTATGCGGCAAGCCCAGTGTTTGATCTTTCCCTGGCATGCGGACTGGAACTCGGAACACGCTTCAGCCTCCTCCACCTGAGGATATGATGCCCTGGGTCATGGCGAACGTGTCCTCGCCTGTTTCTACCAGTTCGTTGGTCTCTCAGGTCGCCTCGTCGGACTCGCCGCTCGCAGCTCAGGCCTTGCAGGAGCTACTCGAGGATTTTTCCGATGTTCTGGTAGACGAACTACCAATCCAGCCACCTGTCTCGCGGGGGCAGTATGACGTTGTCCTTCGGGTTCCTGATGACGTTCGTCCAATTCGTCGTCGTCCCTACCGACTTCCTGCGACGCTCCAGGAGGAGCTCGCTAAAACGATCGACTTCTTGTTGGCACGTGGCATCATTGAACGGAACAATGATGTCATGTGGCAGAGTCCCGTCATCTTTGTTCGCAAAGGTCTTTCCTCTGAAGGAGTCCCTCAATTTCGTTTTTGTATTGATTATCGAGGAGTCAACAATCACCTCCTCGACGACAGTTTTCCGCCTCCCGTCCCTACCGAGCTCATGGAACGGATCGGGCGGGTGCTCTCGCAGCGTACTGAGTCCAGTACGGATACCCTCTACTTCAGCAAGCTGGATATGGCCTCGGGATTCTGGCAGCTGGCTCTCACTCCTGACAGCTCTCAATATACTGGGTTTGTTACTGAACAAGGATCCTACCAATTCCGCGCTCTGCCCTTTGGTCTGAAAACGGCCACAGCTGCCTTCCCTGAGAAGTTCTCACAGGGCATCCTCGGTATGGCCAATGTCTTAGTCTACGTCGATGATGTCTTACTCTTCTCCATGGGTAATCCTCGTTCACACCTACAGCAGGTGCGTCTCCTACTGGAGCGCCTCCGCCACTGACCACCAGGTCTTCGTTAAACGAAGCAAGTGTGTGTTTCTTCAGACGCAGATCAGTTTTCTCGGATACACTTTGAATGCGCATGGGATTGCACCCGAAGCTAGCAAGGTTGCTGCCATCGAAGATTTTCCGCCTCCTGCATCTGTGAAACAACTTCGCCAGTTTTTGGGCCTCGCCAATTTTTATCGGCGTTTCATCAAGAATTTTGCCAACTATGCTGCACCTCTCTCAGATCTGCTGAAAACCAGTCAACGTCGCTTCGTGTGGACTCGGTCTGCTGAGACTGCTTTTGCCGCGCTCAAGACAGCTCTTACGCAGGCTCCAGTCTTGGCTCACTTCCGTTCTGATCGGCTGACCATCCTGTACACAGACGCTAGCGACCTGGCCATTGGAGCCGCGCTTCATCAGATCGATGAAAACAACGAGGAACATCCCGTTGCATTCTATGGCAAGAAACTCTCCTCCGCCGAACGCAATTACTCCACCTATGAGCGTGAGCTTCTTGCTCTCAAGGAAAGTCTCCGTCATTTTTCCTACTACTTGATTGGTCGTCGCTTTCGTGTATGTACCGATCACCACAGCTTGATCAGATTGAACACCCAGTCTGAACTCTCTCCCCGCCTGGCTCGTTGGTTGTCTACCTTCCTTCAGTACGACATGGAGATCCACCACATCCCTGGCGAAACTAACGTCGTTGCTGATGCCCTCAGTCGGATCTCAGGCGACTCGCCTGCTCCATCGTTCGCTCCCCAATCACCCGCTGATCTGACTCAGGCTCATGATCGCGCTATGCGCGCTGAAGACATTGCTCGGGATCTTCTTGTTGGTCTTCATACCGTTCAGATGCTTACGGATTCCTCGTTCGTCTCCCAACTGATGCAGAACTACTCCACCTGTCCTGATTTTCAGGTTTTATACCAATTGGGCAAAGACGGTGAATTGCTCGGCCAACCGGGTTGTCGTCATTTTGAATTTTCGGATGACTTGCTCTACTATGTTGACTCTACCGGCAGGACGAGGATCTGTGTTCCTACCGCTATCCGCGCTGCTGTACTACGCCTAGCGCATGATGATGCCGGCCATGTTGGTTCTGACAAGACCTACCTCTCACTTGTTGCCAAAGTCTACTGGAATAACATGAAGCGTGACGTCGAAAATTACGTGCATTCCTGCCTCATTTGCCAGGCTGCGAAGAACTACAAACAGAAACCCATCGGTTTGCCCAAGAGTCATGACGTTCCTGCTGACAAATTTGACGTCATCTCCGTCGATCTACTCAGCGGACTTCCGACTACCTCCCAAGGTCATGATTCTCTTTTCGTCATGTTGGACTCGTTCTCGCAACATGTCACGCTGGCTCCAACTCACAAGTCTGCTACGACCCAGGAACTTGTGGATTTATTTCTCAGTCCAATACTTCTATCGCACTCGTGGTCTTCCTGCTGCGATCCTTTCGGATAATGGGCCAAATGTCTCCTCGCATTTTTGGGATACAGTATTTCAGACGCTAGGCGTTCAGGTACGCCACTCTTCCAAGTACTATCCCCAGGCCAATGGTCGCGTTGAACGGATCAATGCAACCATTCTGGATATGCTCCGCACTAAACTTGCTCAGGGTTCATCTGAATGGACAGCCCATCTTCCCTTCATTGAGTTTGCCCTCAATCATGCCCCCCGTCGTGAAACAGGGTTATCTGCCTTTCAAGTGGAATACGGCAAGAATCCACGCTCAGTTATGGACTTGACCCTTGATCAGGTTCTTCCTCAAGCCCGCACGACTGTCGACAACATACGTGCAGGTGAAAACCTTGTTCGAGATACCTTGGCCTCGCTCGCCAATCGAGCAGAGACGCGTCTACTTCCTTCTCGCCGCCCGCTTCGCTGGCAAGTTGGTGATTTGGTCTGGATCGACGCGCGTTTATTCAATCAGCAGTTTGAAATTCGCAAATTTCGAGATCGATACATTGGTCCTTTCCCCATCACCGAGGTTTGCACCAACAACAATTATCGAGTTGATGTTCGCCAGCGCTTCCCTCGCATGGATCAAGATGTTTTTAATGCCAAGTTCCTACGCCCCCATGTGCGCAGGAAAGATCATTTGCAACAGCCTGTGGTTTCCCAACCTGTCCCTGGATTCTACGAAGTGGCCCGCATCATCAATCATCGTCAACGTAATGGTGCGAAGCAATATCTGGTTCGTTGGAAGGGATTTTCCTCCGCCGACGACACATGGGCACCTGTTGCCCATCTCTCGCGTACACCGGCGCTCCGTCAGTTGCTTCAGAAATATGAACAGCATCGCACGCGTCAAGATGCTTCTGCTTCTTCTCATGGGCAGCGGCAGCGTCGTGCGCCTCTCAATTAGGATTTTTACTTGCTGCGCCTGGAGCGTGTCAGAGGAAAAACAGATTTGACAAGCTGAGAAAGCGAAGTTTTCTGAGTCCTGAGCACTCCAAGAAAGCGCAGAGAAGAGCGTGTCAGAGCTCATAGGGACCGAGCCCGAGTCAGACAAAGGCCTATCAGGATGAAAGGACAGTTGGCTGTCTCGTACTCGTGTTTGAAGCTGACTTCTCCTGGATGACCCAGGATACTCTACTCCAGTGTGAAGCTGCTGAAAGGACCCCTGTGGAGGCCTTTGTTGCAGCTACCGTGTACCCGTGGGGGACTTACAAGGTAAACAGAAGGGGTGCGTCTTGTGGAGTACGACCCGTTGGAAGCAGCTTGCTGCCATGCAAGGACGGGGTTCTCTTCCCTGCGAGAGAGCATGGTATCCTCTCGAAGGTCAGAAGGGATGCTTGTCAACTTCCAAGGACAGGACACCCCTCCTTTCTGTAGCCAAGAGACGGCACCCCTGGCTCATTCCTCGAAGCTATAAAAGGATGAAACTCGTCAGAGCTAGGTGGTCCTCTTCCCCTTTCGTGTGTGTCCACGATTGTGTGTGTGTGTGAAAGAAATAAAAGAGAGTTAGATCTCCTTCTGTTTCACCGCTTTCCCTCTTAGTAGAGAAATCCAACGTGAGTTCTTATTGAACTGCGCTTGAAGGTCCACTCGAGAATCTTCGAGGTGTGACAACAAGCAGAAAAAAAATATCACATTTACTATGTGTTATGTAGGTTAACTATCAAACACACAACAAACCAAAATAATTGCTTCACACAAATCCTCATATCATGCTCGCCGATGACAGATTCGTCATTGATACCCCTCGTCGCAGTACCCCCCTCCCCCTCGTCTCCTGACGACTTTCGGGAGGTAGGATCCGAACCGATGCCAGTTAGAACTACACACGTCGATCAGCTAGCAGCCATTTCCTACATGCGTCCAACTAGAAGATGACAATCGGGTGAATCTCCAACAACACACCGTTGTATCTTGGACGGAGAGAGAGTACCTGAAAGCAGTGGAGTGGGACGTTTTCTATCAGCGTGTAGCATGCATGCTGGAGGAGGATGAAAGTGCGGCGAGCATGGGCTTGAAGACATGGAAGAAGAACAGGTCTAGACGAGAGAAGATCAAGCTGAAATACTACCTGGCTGGCGGCTCATGTCGGTTCATGTTCGAGACGCCCGCATCATTGGTGAAAGAGAGGCTGGATGAAGCTTTGAGTTTCTGTTCAAACCTAGAAGTCGTCTTCAGTGGCATCGTGGGCGACTCATCACCGCAGGCGGTAAACCACTTGATTGCGTGCTTCAAGTACAACGGGGAATCGAACTGGATGCCTGTGAGCAAGTATGTCGCGACGAAGCTTGCAGAAGCGGCAGAACTAGACACGCTGAAGAGGCTGTTCTCAAAGTACGGGGCAAGCAATCCGACTACAAGGGGCCATCTTTTCGAGCTTTTCTCTTTCAAGAAGATAGAGTGCGGGCTGAGCCTGAGGTATCGGGGATCTCAAGAGGTCAGGCAATGGGAGGGATGTCCAGTCATCACCTTTGATGCAAAGGGAGGCATGCAAACGCTTCCTGCAGAGAGAACTTGCTTGAAGCCCGTCAACCCCCTTCAAGGAGGCTACGACGCTATCATAGTAGAGCCTCGCGGGAAGTTAGTAGAGTTTGTGCAGGTGACAGAGGCAGACGTCCACTCTTTCAAGCTGGCTTTCTTCGCAGAGGCTCTCACGGGGCTAGGCATCCCAGCAGCTGGATGGAAGGTGAGGGTGGTGTTCATGGTGCCGCAAGACAGGCTCGAGAGCTTTCGGATAGGCAAAATCAAGGGCTGCGGTGCGCTGGAGAAGTACGGATGGAAGGGAGGGCAGGAAGAAAGGCAGGCAGAGGTAGCGGGTATGGATATCGCGTGAGCTCAAACCGGCGTTAGCAAGGATGAGCCGGGGAGGCGTGTGGTAGGCGAGGCAAAGATCCGACAAGAAGCATAAGAATGGTAAGGAGAAGGAACAATGTTTTTTAAACATTCAACTGCCAGCTATGTTGGGTGTTGAATAACTTTATTCGGGTGGTGCCGTTGACCCGCGGTCACCTCTAAAAACAGCCTGTTAGGATGTGATTGCTTTGAAAGCAATCTCTAATGTTTTCATTTCGAGGTGTATGCAAAGAGCACACCTCACAAAACAGCCTGTTAGGATGCGGTTCATTTAGGGTGAATAGCATGATCCACAGGGAGATCGTCAGAAAGGATATGAGAAGGGATTAATGCTCTGTGTGCTAGCGCACACCGCCAGCGCTAGCGCGCTTGGCTATGCCACGAGCGACACTGGTGGCATCCAACGATGGTCATTGACACTACGAGAGGCACAGGTAGCCTCCAACGAGGATCAGAGACGCTCCATCTCCCCCTGAGCAGGATTCCTCTCCATCTCCCCTAATTGTTCAGATTGGTCACGAAGAAGTACCCAGGGTACTTGGTCAGCATCCCACGTGACCAGTTCTGACATTTTTCCCTATATTTGGCATAGGTGGTCATATACGTCATATACACTTTACCGCATGCGGCTTTTTGCTATCTAATGAGGGTCGGAGGTAAGCCCTGCGCAGCTGGGCGGTGTGCGCAGCACACAGAGCAAGGGATCCTTTGTCAGTCATCACATAGCAACCCTCCACACAATCACAAACCCTCCACAAACCCTACACAAACCCTACACACAGCCTCTCCCTTACCATTATCATCTTACTTTCTATCTATAATCTAGTCTAAATATATGTATTGTGTAGGGTGTGTAGGGTGTGTAGGGTTTGTGATGAGTTCATCAAAATAAAAATAATTTCAAAGGGGGTAACTCAAATCAAACCCTACACCCTACACACTCTCCACACTCTCCACTAACTAGTCTTCTATGTACTAGATGATGATCATGGATGTTGGCGGAGGCGCGGAGGCGCTACCCCAAACTTTTCTACATCCTTTAATCCAACCCCTCCTCGCCATATGAAATAGTTTGGGGTAACGCCTCCGCGCCTCCGCAGCCCCTCCTACCCCAACTATCACAAAGATTCCTTAATAATTTTTCATAAATCTCTCTTACATCACATCAGGTATTCAATAGAGTATTTATTCATTCTCTCTATCTTCTCTCTATCTTCTCTCTATCTTCTCAATCGCTATCTCCATCAATGGGAACAGGGGAACATCTGGTAATTTAAGCGGAGCACCGGTAACTTACGGGAAACTAGGGGTGGTAACTTATCTGGAACTGGGGGTGGGGTAGGTGGTAACCTATCTGAAGTGTGGGGGGTGGGGTCATATAAATACCCCCAAGCAACAGTAATAATTCCTTTGGTGGTCAGCACACTTAGAAAAGTGCTCTCTGATAATATCGTGAGATCGATTCCTACTGATTCCTGCTCTATGACCTGATGAACTGGCGGGCACCCAGTGATTCGGGAAGTGGAGTCGGATGATGGGGGGGCCGGTTGTCCAAAGCTTGACGTCCCGATGCTCACTGGCTTGTCAGTGGGGTGCCCCGTCGGGTCTGATGGTGATGGCGATCGGTCTGACCACCAAAGGCCCGAGTAGTACTCTGAACCAGCCGCAACCATACCCGTTAGCCTAAGCCGTATTCAAAATAAAAACCGGGCAATTTTGCTCGAATTATCAAAAAAATGATGACCATCGGGCAAAAAAGCTCAAGCGCTAAATGGTACTAAATGATAGAGATTAATCAACAAGTCTTAAAATGCCCCTCCACCAACACGGACATAAATGAGATCATCTCACACATCTATTGGGAAATCAAAGAAACCTACGACGAGGTCTTCATCGATGATATTGATGATGAAGATGAGATTGAGCAACATAAGCGTATCATAGAGAGGGATGACCAAGACCTTGACTATGAAATCCATATGGCCATTGATAACTATGTTATTGATGAGCTTGATGACAAACGCTATGCTATCATAACACAAGGCCGTGAGCCTCTGCTTGTATTGATGGAGTACATTGAGGAGTACGGCCAACCAAACTTGGATGATGCCCTCCTTAAAGCTGAAAGACTAAGAGGCATTGTTTCTTATCAGATCATATACGAGCAAATCCAAGCCTTGTTTTGTCAAGAAACCATAACAATTGAGATATCATCTATGATGGAGCTCATAGATATCTTAGATAAGGATTAAACTGACAAGAAGAATAATATGTATCTATATTTTAATATTGCTCAAAAAAATGATATAAAGGATTGGCATATATAACCATCAAACCAAAAAGAATAAATATCTAAGCCTATATCAAATAGATGGCACGCGAACGAAAAGCTCCTGAGTTGTTCAAACCAACCAACTTCAAGGCTACGGCCAAAAAGGCTCCGGCACGGAAGGCTCCAATCCAGCCTACAAATGTCGTTCGACCAGTTCGACCTATTACTGTTCAACGAGCATCGCCAGCCGATGTCCCAGTCTTGGCTGCCATCCCTATCGACGAGCCAGTTCGACCATCCAGGAAGCCTGTTGCTAAGGAACCGCCAACCGTGGCTGCTGCTTCATCATACTCTAAGAAATATAGGCATCCAAAGGACTACAAGGATCTTAAAATGGTCAATGACCAGATCACAAGAGATATGAATCTAGCTGTTCATAATGTTGTATTCAAGAGATATAAAGATGATGAACTCGACTTCACAATCTATGACAAGGCTTTGAAACTACAAACATCTCTTAGCCCATTCAATGGCCCAAACTCCTGGACGAGCAAGGTTTGCGGTCTCGACTACAAACCATCACAATATGACAGCCTACCATATCTTAACAGGCCTACACTTGCCGAGATCAAGGACAATGTCTATGTTGGCGAGAAATTGAGTGATTCCAAGACCGCATCTAATCTCAACACTATCATTAAGACAACGACTGCCCAAGTTGACCCCAATGATCTAACAACCGTCTTGAAGCACCACAGACAGATCATCTTGGAGATGCTCCTTTATGCTCAGGAAAACAAGAGGTCACCAAGCACATACTGGGACTATATAAGGGCCTTGACAAGGCTTGCGAGGATCTGCCTCGGTGATGATAACGAGCTTTATAAGAAGCTGGCTAAGCTCGGAGATGACTTTGACAAGGCTGTCATCAAGAACATTGAGACAAAGAATGTTGAAGTTCCCAGTAACCTTCTCTCCACAGACGGTGACACAGTCACAGTAGCAGTGACACTCGAAGTAGACAGTGATAGCACCGACTGCAAGTTTCTGTAGCAGTGGTAATAGATATCACGAATGGCCGCGCAGGAATGATATCAGGATACAGAGAACAAACGGAGGTGATAAGAGATTGGTATAGATGGTCAAGCTTGTTTACTTCAAGCAATCCAGTCTCACAGAGACCATACACCTCGTTCTCCTTTCCCTGTCCTGCCAATGCGTGCGGCGCTTCTTCCTCTTCCTCGGTCCCTAAAATAGGGGCTGCCCGGTCCTAGGAACTACCACTACCGGTACTCTACGCTTCTTATCTGCGATATGATTCTTCGACCGGTCCGAGGCCTGGTTCCGTACCTTGAGGGTCCCCTGAGAAAGAGTCATAGGCTTGACATGACGAGGTTTTCGATTCTCATCCAACGCTCTCTGTGAAGTTGATGTAGCTGCTCCCTTGACCTTGACAGGTCCTGTGTCTCCGTAGGAGCATGCTTGGAGGTGGTCTCGTGCATTCCTTGTATGTCCTCCGCTAAGATGATCATGATAGTACTGTCTTCTTTGATCAGACCCCTTGTTCTCCCATGTCCATGACTTCAGGGGTGATACTTCCAATCTCCCCTTGAGCGTAGCCGTATTCTGCCACCGTGACGGTGTCATCTGCTGTCCTGTCGTGGACTGATATAAGCTGACTCGCTTATCTCCTGCTGCCATCCACGAGTCCTAAGTTCTTGCTGTCTTCTTCATGATTCTCCTACGTCGTCCTTATTGTAGCTGTTGCTGTCCTCTCCAGGGATGCATTCCGAGGCTCTAAGCATCTGTGCACTTGAGCCACGTCGATTACTTGGCATTGTCTGAGGTGAAGCTTCCTCCTATCAGGTGCTTCAACACCCTCCCTTGGCTCTTGTGTGCCGATGCCAGCATTGTTACTTTGCCGCGCCTCCATTGACGGTGTCAGGCTTGTCAAATTTGACTATGCCTTTCAAATGACCTGCTGCGGTTGACTCTTCGCGCGTCGTCGCCGCAGTATTCCCTCCCTTGCCTAGAGTAGGCGGGAGCTGTTGCTTGACAGCAAGGTGGGCTCATGCTTGGTCTCTGGTCGTCTGCCTTGAAGCTGTATGGTTGCTCATCAGACTTGATATTCCTCTTTCCATAAGCGATCAGCCTCTTGACTTGACTTTCGCAGTAGGGCTGTGCATGGTACTGAAAGGTTCTCCTCAGCGCCCATCAGCACTGATGTGCCTGGCGACTTGGGACCTCCTTCATTTCTGCAGCATCATTTCATAACTTCGATCGAAGGTATGTCTTCATCGTCTGCTTCTTCGTCTTGCGAAGGCTTGGCGCTTCAAGCTGCCTTTCATTTCTTCAACTCTGCTGTAGAGTTGGTTCGTCACAGTGTCATCACGTCGCCATCACAATATAGTGGCTTGTAACGAGGCTTTGGGACGTCTCCCTTCCTCGGTCTTCACAACCTTCAAGCTTTCATCTGCCGTGCTCTAGGCTTGCCGCTTCAATCATCGCGGTGCTTGACCAGTGGAATCATGAGGTAACCCGGTCCTCTCCTCACTGTTGGCCACGTACAGGCTTTGAGGTTGGATTGAAAACAGCTCTTGTCACTTTTGACATTCAGAGCAACTTTGATCAGGACTGATCCCTCCATCATCGAGATTTTCTCGCTGTCATGTCACCCCTCAGCTTCTTTGCCACACTCATCATCATGGTGGGAGAGCTATCTGGTGGCCTCGTCGTCATCTTGTGCGACTCCTGGCTCTGCTTGGCCCGGGGATCCCTGTGACTCGTCCATGTCACTTGACATAGGGATGATGCGAGGCTCGATGCTGATGTCATCATCAGATGTTCTCAGAGGTTCAGCCTGTCATGAAGTTCAGTATTCAGGTATGATAGTGAAAAGATATGATATTCCCTGATTTTGATTGTTCATTTAGTGAACCCTCCCTGACTGTCTCTGGTGTCGAACAGATGACCTCAGGCTGAAGTGGGTCCCCTGTGACTTCGCATCATCCATCTCCCTCCCTGACGAGGTGCAGGGAGCTTGGCTAGCTTGACAAGGTCTTGCATGAAGCAGCGGCGTAATGATGGTCAAACGGAGACCTGAGACATGTCGTTGCCGAACAAGAACGATGCTAGCTGACGAATTTTGGAGACTGGGCAGATCTTGGTGAGAATGTCCGCAGGGTTGTATGTAGTAGAAATCTTCACAGCGATGATTTCGTTTTCATCCACACTCGTTCGAGTGTACGGTGAAAAACGGATTGAGCGTACCCCACATTTCTTCCTCCGTCTTAAAAACATTGTTGCCCGAATTTTCCTTAAGCTTAGTCAGGTCGATACTTGTTTTTGAGAAAGCTTCATGAATTTCCATTGCCATTTTGATATCAGAACCCATGTTTGACTCCAGGCTCAGCTGTTACTACCGTTGTCACTCCACAGATACTCTCCAACTGATGTCACTCCGAATGTGAGAGTAAGAGTCCACTGGTTGCCGTGATACAAGGTTTCTCGAGAAATAGAATATCTAGGCACTGATATTCTAAAAATTTTAGAATATGTTGAAGTTCCCAGTAACCTTCTCTCCACAGACGGTGACACAGTCACAGTAGCAGTGACACTCGAAGTAGACAGTGATAGCACCGACTGCAAGTTTCTGTAGCAGTGGTAATAGATATCACGAATGGCCGCGCAGGAATGATATCAGGATACAGAGAACAAACGGAGGTGATAAGAGATTGGTATAGATGGTCAAGCTTGTTTACTTCAAGCAATCCAGTCTCACAGAGACCATACACCTCGTTCTCCTTTCCCTGTCCTGCCAATGCGTGCGGCGCTTCTTCCTCTTCCTCGGTCCCTAAAATAGGGGCTGCCCGGTCCTAGGAACTACCACTACCGGTACTCTACGCTTCTTATCTGCGATATGATTCTTCGACCGGTCCGAGGCCTGGTTCCGTACCTTGAGGGTCCCCTGAGAAAGAGTCATAGGCTTGACATGACGAGGTTTTCGATTCTCATCCAACGCTCTCTGTGAAGTTGATGTAGCTGCTCCCTTGACCTTGACAGGTCCTGTGTCTCCGTAGGAGCATGCTTGGAGGTGGTCTCGTGCATTCCTTGTATGTCCTCCGCTAAGATGATCATGATAGTACTGTCTTCTTTGATCAGACCCCTTGTTCTCCCATGTCCATGACTTCAGGGGTGATACTTCCAATCTCCCCTTGAGCGTAGCCGTATTCTGCCACCGTGACGGTGTCATCTGCTGTCCTGTCGTGGACTGATATAAGCTGACTCGCTTATCTCCTGCTGCCATCCACGAGTCCTAAGTTCTTGCTGTCTTCTTCATGATTCTCCTACGTCGTCCTTATTGTAGCTGTTGCTGTCCTCTCCAGGGATGCATTCCGAGGCTCTAAGCATCTGTGCACTTGAGCCACGTCGATTACTTGGCATTGTCTGAGGTGAAGCTTCCTCCTATCAGGTGCTTCAACAGAATCAACTCAACATAGACGAAGAGAGAAACTTCTTACCGTATTCATACCTGTTGAATATGATCGATGATATGGAGCAAAAATACCTTGAGGCAAAAACTAGATACGGTCCACAAGGCTATCATACATACAAGCTACATATGAACACTTTGATCTTAATGTCATATCTGTATACGCCACCCCTGCGTTTGGAGCTATCTAATGCCCGCTTCACTAAGACCCTAAGAAATTTAGAACCAGGCAAAAACTACATATACATTCCGCAAAATGGCAAACTGGTCAAGTATGTCCTGAATGAGATCAAGAAGAAACACAAACCAATCGAATATGATGTTGGATATCCTATGAATGATGATCCTTTGGCAAAGAGGCTTACCGAGTTCATCAAGATGTCCCTTCGTGAGTATCCAAGGGAATACTTCATAACCCTTTATACTGACAAAAATAAGCCAGCTAAAAAAGCAATGACAACATATCTCTCAAGTATGTTCGCTGACCATTCCTTGAACGTGAATATGTTCCGCTCTTCCTACGTGAGTTGGTTGTACTCGAACAATGTTAGCACGAATATATTGGAAGAAGTGGCATTGAAGATGCGAACAAGCATCTTGACGTTTATGAAGAATTATAAGAAGCTGAATTCTGAACAGATTAGGGTCAAGAGGGAAAGAGATGATGATAACAGACCTATTACAATCAATGAGGCGGATGATTCACCAGCGGCTCGGGGGCCTGTCGCAAATCCTATTGCTGCCATTCCACAACCACAACCAAGACAACCCCATAAGGAGTACAAAGACCCTATCGTCTTAAGACGCGCCAGGGTGAACCGTTACATTGAGAAGACAGGCGGTAGAGAGGCCTTCAATGAGCGACAGAAAAAGTACTATAAAGAGAACAGCAAAACTCTATACATCAAGAAACTGTTGAGGATGTACAACACCACCAAGGAGGCAATAGATCCTATCCAACATACCATAAAGAAGTATAAGCTCTACAAGGAAGGGAATGAATGGAAATCTCTGGAGCTTGGGTAAAAAATGATATAAAACAGATATGATAAATATTATATTGATAGAGTGATGTTCGACTTGACTTTCTATGATAAAGTCCTTAAATGGTCCGATGAGTTGTCTATAAAACCAACACATAGCAGCGTATTATCTCGTCATCAAATGTGGTGTCTTAAAAAACGAGGGGATTGTGGTGGAAAAGATCACAGAGATATGGTCAATGATAGATTGTTTGGTCGGTACGTTAAGAGTTGGATGATTTACTTTGATATGTCATTAGACAAGATACATAATCCAAAAATGCCTTTGAAAGTGATTGGAATTGATAAGATATAAAAAATGAAAAAAAATGATATAAAGTATTTAGCAATAATATTATATGATCATATGAATAAAGAAGAAAAAAAAATGAGCGCATCATTAGAATGGTATTATAAAAAGAGAGAGAATGATCCTGAATATGTTCAGAAAGAACGTGAACGTAAGAAATTAGATAATCATAGAAGATATCATTCATCTGAAGAGGAACGACAAAAACAAATTAAAAGATCTCTTGATAGATACTATAGAATTAAGGCCCAAAAACTGGCCATCGTTCAATAATTCATACAGTTTTTTTGAAAGCATGCTATATTTTACTATTTGTTCTCATTTTTTGTGTTTTGCCATAAAAAATGATATAAAGATTTCAGCCATAAAATTATCTAACCTAAGAATAAAGGCAATGAACGGTTCAAGCGGTTTGAACAATTACCACTATCTTTTGAAGAAAGGCTTTGCTTTGACAGCTGTCCACCCCCGCAAGTATGAGGGCGATCGGTTTGTCAAGGGAAAGATCGACGGAGTTGATAAGCCTTATATTGATGCTGGTTGGACTAAACAAGAAGTTAATGAGGGGAATGCTTCGGTAGTCTACAACATTATCAATGACAAACCATTCTATGCTGTCCGAACTGGTGAGATATCAAACATTATCGGCGTTGACATCGATAGTGACAAGGCTGAAAAAGATGGTATCCCTCGCTCTTTGGAGTTTGAGGAGTGGTGTAAGGCTTCTGGTACATATACCATCAAGTCCCCACACGGATATCATTTCTATTTCAGATATGATAAAGATATTAGTAAGAGCGGATCGATACTCGATCATATTGACATTCAATCAAATGACAAGTGCCTCTTTGCTCCAAATGTCAAACGGGTTGATGGTGTGTATGAAGTCATAAATGAAGCACCTGTAAAGGCAATGCCTGATAAAGTCAAGAGCTTTATTCTTAAGCATAAACAAACCAGAGATTGTGGGATGGCTGCCAAGCAAGAGAAGGCACCCGAAGCACCCGTCAAAGGTCCTAAAAGTTCAGATGGGGATGCTGAGGATAGTGAAATAGATGTTGATGATGTTAAAAAGTTGCTCAACCTCATCTCTCCTGATTGCGATTACAATCGTTGGATCAGGGTCCTCGCGGCAGTCAACAACACTCTCGGTTCTAATGATAAGGCCTATGATATCACCGATGAATGGTCCTCAAAATCTATCAAATATGACCCAAGATCATTTGGTCGTATTTGGAACTCGGTAAGGGGCTATGAAGAGATTACAATTGGCACCTTACATCACTATGCTAAGGAAGAACAACCTGAACAATACAAGGAATTATTTGCGCATAAAAAAACGAGCATACCAAGAGTTGATATCAGCAAATTGAGGAAATATGAGGATATCAAGGAAGCTTTTGAAAAAGATACGTTTATGGTTTGTATCCCTCCCGTATATTTTCATAAAAATCGCTATGGTGATAAATACACAGTTGTGAAAGAGGATGGCATCAAACAGGCATATAGGCATCTCAGGTATATCAAGAATGTCGGAACAGATAATAAGGGTAATATCAAGACAAAAGAAGCAAGCTTCATCACTGACTGGGTTTCCGACCCTGATAAACGCGTTTATGAATCAGTGAAGTTTGATCCAAGCAGGAAAATAGATTCTGATATATTCAATACTTTCACTGGATTTGAGGCCGAAAAACATCCCGAAATTGATGAGACGCTTATGATGGAATTGGTACAACCATACATTGACCACTTTGATATGCTCTTTGGCAGTGATGCTAGAATATTCGTTATGAAATGGATGGCGAACATCATCCAAAATCCAACTCAAAAATCTGGTGTTTGTTTGCTTTTGAAGAGTGAAGGAGAAGGTTCCGGAAAGACCACACCATTTGAGTATTTCGGAAGAAAGGTGATTGGAAACAATCATTATAAGAACACCAGTGACCCAGAAAACGACCTCTTTGGTAGATTTGCTACTGCGATTCACAACTCATTGCTTGTCCAACTTGAAGAGATTAAAGGTGTCGTGTTTCATAAAAACGCTAGTACGTTTAGAGATATGATAACCAAGAATACAGCACGATGGGAGGTTAAAAATGTCACTGTCAAAGACGATGATGAGAACTTTGCGAGCTTTATATTAACCACCAACAATGAGAACCCTATAACTGTCACTCCAACTGATAGGCGCTTCTGTGTACTAAATGTAAATGAAGCTATGATTGGGAATGTTGAATACTTCGAAAGATTTATTGAAGTGGTAGAACATCCGTCTTGGGGCAGGGCGTTGTTTCAATATCTTAGAGATTTGGAAGGCGTGCCAAAGAACATCGCCCAATTCCAAAACCAAAGATATAAAAGCGAGGCTTATGATGATATGCGAAAGCAAAACATCCCTAACTGGGCCAGGTTCTTGATCAATAAGGTGATGCTCAAAACTTCTCTCATCAAGAACAACTCTGTTGAAATCAAACCAACAGAAGATGTAAAAGCTAGTAAATTATATGATGAATACGTTCAATACTGCGAGAAGACACGTGTTGAAGCTGCGACAATGAAACAGACTGGATTTGCTATAAAGATTAAGTCTGTTGAGGGGATCATAAAACAGAGAAGTAGATTATGTTGTAATTATACGATTGATTGGGAAGCTGTTGAAAAATGGCTTGTCAAAAAGAATTACTGGGATGATGATAATATCACAGTAGAGATATAATTAGATTGATGGTTAGTCTTTCCCAACCCTACACAAAATCACAAACCCTACACAAACCCTACACACTCTATTTTCCTTACCATAACAATGTCATTATATTATTTTATTTAGTATAAATAGACACTAGTGTGTAGGGTGTGTAGGGTGTGTAGGGTTTGAAATGAGTTGAGGGAAATAAATAAAATAAAAAAAAGGGTAACTCATTTCAAACCCTACACCCTCCACACCCTACACACTCAGTAACAAATATAGAATGTTTCCTATAATAATCTTACCATCTCAGTCACATAATAGGAAATGTGGATAGTTTTGATGAAAAAAAACAATCTCCCAACAATATAAATGAGCAAGTATACCTATGCCTCTCTCTCTCCATCTCAAGCAAAGCACAAGAAGTACAAGTTAGTACTCTATGACAAAGATCAGAAGAGGATCAAGACTGTTCAGTTCGGTGATAGTCGATATCAGGACTTCACACAGACCCACAATGATCAACTTAGGAAGTACTACATAGCGAGACACGATAACGGTCGTGAGGATTGGTCGGTCCCTGATACCCCCGCATCCTGCGCAAGGTGGATCTTATGGGATCAGTACACAAAAGAGAAAGGATTTGAGAACTACCTCAGGCGATTCCACTTGAAGCGCCTAGATCTGTCTGACTAGGATGGTTAGAATAGCCTCCGAGTATATAAGGAATATATCTATGTTTAGATATGACAGACCCCATATTACTCTTGATGAATTCTGGGATCCCATTCACAGACTCCATAAGAGTGTCATAAGACTGGATGTAATTATTCAGTTTGTCGGAACTAATATCCCTATTAGTTAAGGTCTGTTCAATGCTATGCTCTAACTTACTAAATTTGCTTGCGAGGTCGTAGTACAAACTCGCTTTTTCACTTATCTTCAATTGGCTATTTACACCTATTAATACAGCCGTGACCGTATTGAAAACGATATTTATAATTCTCATTATTTTATCGTCCTGAAAACTGCCATTTAAGACAGCAAGTGATGATGATAAGATGATCAATGGGATCATAACTATCTGCTTCCACAGATTATACCATCCCGCGGTTCTATTACATAGGATGCTCATGATCCTTGCCATCTCTTTGTACTTCTGCCATAGCTCGTTCTCATTGCTTTCAGTTCGTTCCAGTCTGACATTGATGTCAGGCATCATTGGTCCTTATATATACATTAGAAGAATATTGGAAACCTTGTAGTGTCCCATCAGCGGCCACATACTGCCTTCCCTCCATAATCAATCTAATGCTATGATTCAACGCATCCAGATGCTGTCGATTGTGTACTGAAGATATTATTTTTTCGTTGGCCATCCATCACTATAAGAATAGTCTAAAAAAAAGATAAGACGTGATGATCACAAGCGTCGAAGCTGATTTTCCATATTCTGGGCCTTCTCCAAGCCATTCTGAACCAATCCAACACCTTGGACAGCCTGCTTACTCAGCTCATTGATCTTTGCCCCTAAAGGGTGCTGTGTCAGTTTCCCTCCAAGCTCACGGTTGACGGCAGATCCAATCCTTCTAGCCATCACTAGACCTTGTCCCAGTCGCCTAGTGAAATTGAGTGCCTGTCCTAGTCTTGATGTAAGAGCCATATTCTTTTAACTATAGATAGATTTTTTTATAACCTTTTCCGCTTTGCGCAAAAGCTTAACCAAAAACAGCGGCGCCGGGGGCCGCAACCCCCGCTAATTAATGTTCATATACTGAGTTATGATCAGATACAGTTCCTGGAGATAGTCAACGATCCTCATCAATAATCTCAAAACCTTCTCTTGATAGATATTTGAATCATTCTTTACTTTCTCGAACCTAAGGTGTAAGAAGAAATCATTGAATCTTTCGAGAGTTCTATTTTCCTCATTCGTTAGCCTAAGCGTAAACTGATCGATTGTATCTGATTGAGTGTTTATTATAGACCTCCATCTGCTATCATAAGGAGCTTCATAATTGATAAGAGAATTGGGTGCTTGATTCACGACAAATGAAAACAATATATCGTTGGGATAGAACTGATCGGTCTCGATATTTGCTAATCCACTCTGATTCAGCCCAATATCCCCATCGATCCTCATAAATATAAGCTGATCCGATGTCATATTGATTGGGAAATCGCTATACACTCCATCAGTTGTAATAAGGATATCCTCATCATTGTTGAATCCTAAGAACTGTGAGCAGTTGACACACCTAAGAGTGACATTGTTTCCTGTATTGCTAGCAAAAAACCACTTGTTAAGCCTTGGAATATATGACACATCTATCTTTTCGTTCAGCTTGGTCTTGAGCTCCTCCTCCAGCTCATATATATTTGGGTTGCCCTCATCAAGTCTCACTAGAACATCATCAATCATAATAGTATCGTTGTAACCATACTGAATGTTCTTCCAAGAAATCACAGACTGGAACGAGACAACTGAGACTACCCACGACTGATTTCTTTTGCTTTGAATGTAACTGTTTGGGAGGTTGACCATAACAACACCACTCGATTTAATACAGTTCTTCGAGTTAATGAAAAGATTAACCGTGTCTTCCATTGAAAGCTACTTTTACAATAGTCAAATATTTAAAGTATCTTAGTGATCTGCTCAGGGTCCCAATCCCTTGTATCCTCTTGTGTCTCTTGTTCCTCATCATAGACGATGAAATTGAGCAGCAGCTCGTCAAGATCTGCCTTTGTGCCATCAACAAGCCTCAAGCTCAGCCTCTGGCCGCCTTGAAGCAGCCTATCATTTACCTTGAAGTTCTTTTGGAACTTATAAGATGAGTTCTGATAGGTGCTTGTCGCATTGCTTTCTACCACAGTTGGTTGGATATCCAAAGCAACATTGTATATCCTTAGATCTTTGAGCTCACCGATGAATTCTCCGATGACAAGCCCATCAACAAGATCGGCGGTGATAGCCTCTGAGCTATCGATTACAGTCTGTTCAACGCCATCGATGTATATCCTATTGACAGCCTGATCATTGGTGAACGCATAGTTATGCCAGAGGCCATCATTGATATATCCATTTGTGACAACCGAATAATAGTTGATTGAACTGTTCAGCTTGAATTCAAGATCGCCTGTGTCCTTCCCGCGAATCATTAGTTTATCGGTCTCATCACGCAATATAGTATCAACCCCAATACTGTTATAACCTGTAATCTTCAAATCAAAGGATATGGTAAGCCCAGTCTGTCCCTGACTGATAATGTAATATGGCACCTCAACAGAAGTAGACCTAGTCTTATCGGGTGTATCATCAAAGGATTGTAACACATAACCATAGGGGCTTACCTCTGTGAATGTGAAATCATTGTAATATACCTCTCTTGTGTATTGAAGGACGACATAGCCATTGATTCCATCGGTCCCATTGAATCCACCCTTTCCGACATCAGTGATTGGAGTGAATGGCAAGGGATCGGTAGGAGCTCCACTGGTTCCACCTGATGTGCTCTTGCCTGCTATGCCTCCTTTGTGGTCTAGCTTAGTCACTGCTGAGTGCCCCCAGTAGGAGGACCCACCACCACCACCAAAGAAAATTCCACCATTATATCCCGCACCACCACCGCCCCACCAACCAGCCCCGCCTCCATTCCCATATGAAGAATTAGCATCACCACCATAGAACTTACCTCCAATGTTTCCATCATTCATAGCATCACCAGCAGCTCCCCCTGCTGTCTGACCTCCACCGCCTCCGCATTTGATATCTCCATCTTTTCCTTTCCCACCATCTGCTCCTGTTCCATCATCCCAAGGACTGCCCTTCCCACCTCCACCGCCAGCACAAACAGTATCTCCTGTGGTAAGAAAACTAGCATATCCCGAACCAGCACCACCACTTCCAGCAATTGCAAGAGCGGTGCTCGTGTTACCAACCCTGTTGCTAGTTATTCCAATACTTCCACTAAAAAGTCCAGTCAACCCACCACCACCTGCTCCATGATCACCATTTCCATCGCCTCCACCTGTCCAAGCTGGATTATTCACTCTGCCACCCTGCCCAACCAACAACTTGATATCTGTCATATTTGTAACATCGACCTTACACTTCAAGAAAGCACCACCGCCGCCACCATAATGGATATCACTGAATGTTCCTCCGCCACCACCAGCCCCCCAAACATAGGCCGTGATCTCGGTGACTCCCGAGGGAACTGACCAAGTATAAAGCCCATAATCTGTGCCTACATCTGTTCTTGTGTCATCATACGTGAATGTCTCAGTGAAGACTGTCATTTGCTGAAAGTATTTTTGAACCGATCCAGTGTATAGCTCAGAGACTTGGTCGGCTGTCAGTTCTGTATTGTAGATGCGGAAGTCATCAACAAGACCATCAACTTGTTGTCGTACATCATTGAATCCACCTGAAATGTAATAGACATCTCTTTGTCCTGCTAATGGATACTTTGCTGATGTGGTTGTATATTTAGAGACATTATTTACATATATTCGAATCGTAGCACTAGAATAACCACTAGCATCTCGTACAGAAGTTTGTTTAACATTTAAAACAATATGATTCCACGAATTATATGTATATAAATCATTGGCGCTTGTATTGCTATAAGGAGTGTCTGTATAGAATACATAATAAATTAAGTTTTTAATAGTACTGTCTGAGAGCAAAAGAAAGCAATTTCTGTAACTATTATCCAAGTCTTGAAAATCGAAAAGTATTGGATATCTATTATCACCAGCACCTTTCATATAGACCCAAAAACTGACTGATACAGCTGTGTTATTATCAAACAATGTAGCAATTGGGTCACCAGCCTGTACATCCATCTCGCAATAACTAATATCACCAGCAACATAGTTCATATCCAGCGCTCCATTTCCCTTAACAGAGCTTGATGTGATTGTTGGATAATTTCCAGTGGTCCCCTTCCTCTTTAATCTAAGCTTTATCTGATTTGCGCTGTGATCAATGAAATAATTGCCATTGGCATCACTCTGTAAATCTTCTTGTTGGAACTTATACCAGACCAATGGATCGATATCATTCCCTGAACCATCCTTCAATACTACATAACCATTCTTAACGAATCCAGAGGGTAAGGCACTGACTCCATTGCTATCTTTCAAGTCAATGCTTCCAGCTGTTGAGAAATCAATTGTGTAATTGCCAGAAGATGTTATGTTGTATGTGTTGGGCAACGTTGTATCACTAGGGAATGTTAATTCATCGCCGATCCTTAGATAGGTTGTTGTTGTAGTGTTGATAGTCTCTGCTGACCAGACAAAGCTCTGATTCAATGGTATCTGGTTAAAGTCATAATTATTGACACTATCAACATAGTTGTTGTTGAAGCTGTACTTTGCTATCAGATCGGTCTCGGGATACTGATAAGCAGAAGATGTTGAGGAAGCAAAGATAGGAATAGCATAAAGCAAGGCTCCAAGACTAGACTTATAGAAGCTGTCATAAGCGTCTGTATCATCAAGGAACTGGTCAGCGTACAGCTTGATGTAGTTTTGCGATGTGTTCTTGGCCTGGACATTGTTCAAGACTATCCTGGCATTCTTTGATAGGACCTGTTGATTGGGCAGATTGAGATTCCAAGTGACAACATCTGATTTGGTGCTTACATCATCATTAAGATCAAGATGTAAATCAAATATCTTTTTAGGTTTGAACAGTGATACCATTGTGACTGGTATATTTATAAAAAGAAAAATATTATTATTTCAACCAATTAGGCTGGTTCGATTTGTTAGAGATAAGCTGATCAGCACTCCAAGGTCCCGTATCTTTTTGTAACTCGATCTCCTCGTCGTAAACCACGAGGGTAAAGAAGAGCTGTTCAATATCCACCTTGGTAATGTTCATAAGATTGATGCGAAACTGATTGGTTCCTGATAAGAAGTTCTCCTTACACTTCCAGTTCTTTGATATCTTTGGGTTATAGTTTTGATATGAGACAGTCGCGGCATCTTTGCCAACATTGAATAGCACAGCACCATAGATGCCATTGCCCTTGCTATCAAATGTAAGGGATGTATCAACATCATTTGTATACAGATAGACGATATCTGTTGTGTCAACCTTCTTGATATATAAGGAATCCAATACAATCCTAGCATGTTCAGACAGGATTTGACCGGTTGGATTCTTGATCTGCCAAGTTAGAGTGGTAGCCGAATCGCTGGTCTCTTGTACATCATTGATATCGAAGCTGAGGTGTATCAATTTCTTAGGCCTGAAAAGTTTAGGCATTTATATAACTGGCATATTTTTATTCGATCACCTCGATGCCCTGAACTATGCCACTGATTTGATCAGCCTTGTCCTTCATCTCTTCGATCTCTTTCTTCAATTCTGGATCCTTCTCATAGTCTGGTTCGGTCTTATCTGGATGGTATAGATAGTCAAGACAGGCTGTATAGAGGATTGATGGGGGGATGTCTGGATACATCTGGCTGATATTGTTCACCATTTCCATTGCCTCCTTATGCTTCCTGTCTCTCTCCTCCTCCTCCTCGATCTCTTGGAGCTGCTGTGAGACGTCGATGAATTCACTTCCGGTCATCTTTATTATAAGCAACCATTAAAATTCTAGGATTCTATCCCAACATCTCAAGAAGTGGCCACCATCTGGGCACCTAGGGTGGTTGTTTACGGTAAGCCAGTTATACTTCTCTTCAATACAGTGTTCATATAATTGTTCAAACACCTCTGGTTTTACTAGGCCGCTGATCTCGTCATATATACCTTCCATAATCACCTTCTTGTTCATACATCGATATATCATATACACATCGATGTTGTTTCGTACGATCTTTGGGATGGATTTGAGATTTTGAGTTGTGAATATCATATTGATGCCGTAATGCCTATGCTTGATTAGGAAGTTGCTAAGCTTGTTGTTCTTCTTTGTGTTGAAGGCCTTGTTATCTGAGATGAGATCATCGAAGACAAAGAACACCACAGGTGGCTTCTTGTATTTAAGATTGCCAAAGGCGACATCAGGCTCTTGGAAATCGTACTTATAGAGCAATTCAAGTTCATCCATTGTCAATCTGTCTTCACCGACCTTCATCCATCTGCTATAAGCCTTCTTATACTGATCATATTCCTCTATGTCCTTCTTTATCTGCTGGACCTCATCAATCTTCTCTTGGAGTTTATCCTCAGAATACTCATCAACAACATCATTCTCAAGGTCTAGCTGCTTGACTGTCTCTAATATGGTATTGGATTTGCTCTGGACGGTAGGAGAGAACCACACCACCTTGATATCGATCTTCTTGCTATCCTCTGGGTCATAGAACGGGTACTTTTCATAATGGTGGAATAATTTCGCTATCCCGAATGTTTTACCGCAATTCTTAGAGGCTACCGCAAGTATTGAACAGTACACAGGAGGCAGGAAAGGATTATCGGAAGTTGGAAGCTTATTCTTCTTGTAAGGTTTAGGCTTGTTATCTAGCAATGGTATCTGGTGCTCTGTTATATCCATTTACTAATTGATAAGAAATTAGTAATAGCTAGGCCTTAGCAGATCACTAACATAATTGAGGCGTTCCTGGTTGACCTTCTCACGCAATCGTTCGTTGATCGCGTTCAAGGCTTGTTAATCTTCCAAGATTTTTATCATCAGAACCATGGTGGGGATAGCGTGGCTCTGAGCGTTTGACTCTCCTAACCACAATCTCCTCATCGCTCTCTTCTTCGTCATCGCTCTCCTCGATAATGATCTTCTTCTTCTTCTTAACAATCTTAGATACCTTGGGCGGATCATTTTGCTCCTGTGCTGGTTCGACTGGTTTAGCAACGAGCTTTTCCACAGTCTTATCAAACTCATCACCTTCCTTCTTCAAGGCCTCCATTTTGATTAATTTGTTAAACTTGCTCTTTTGATTCAACTTAGCTTTTTGCTTTCTTGCTTCCTCTGCTTTGATGCGCATTAATTTGAGACGTTCCAAAAGTTCTGGCGAGCACTCCTTTTTCTGCTTGGTGACCACCTGTGCTTGTTGGTCAACATCTGTCTCTTCAATGACCTTCGGTTTTCTTCCCATTTGTAAGAAAGTAAAGAAAAAAAAATTACTTAAATTGCTCAAGGGCCATGAACTGGCCGAGCCATCTTTGGAACATCCTTAATATTGTGCTTAGTGTACATCACAGTAACATCACGATTACCCACCATCTCTTGAAGCATTGGTTGGAAATCCTCGTAGTTAACATCTGGCCTCGATTGCTTGGAGTTGTAGATGTCACGCTTAAAAGCTGTGTCACGCTGCTGATAATAGTTAGAACTGGTAGGATAGGGCATTTTATTGATATCATCGTTTGGATGGATCCGCGGGTTCACAGTGTGATGATCGACTTTATTCACTTCGATATCTAGGAAGCTTAAATGGTTCTTGTAACCATAGCTGAACGTGCTTGGTTGGAGATACATTCTTCTTTTAATCTAATGCGAGATTATTTAGTCTAGTTAATTGATACTAATTTGGTTTCCTGAACCGATAGTCAAATGTCTTGTTTCACAGCAGATGATAAGAGGTAACCATACCTGGTCTGAGGAACTCTTACCAGATGTAACGCTTCCTCGCGTGGACCACTCGATAGAAACAGGGAGCTGCCTTGTGTCGAGGCCTGAAATAACCATAGTGCCTCCCGCATCGCCAACGTGCGATAAACTAAGGGTGTCGCAGAAGAAGTACTTCACATAATCGCTAATACTCTTATTCCCAGCATAAAAACCAAGATCAGCAGACTGATGAAGATTGAATGCTTCAACTGTGTTCTGAATACAGTTCATCAGATTGGATGGAACCTGTGGTAGCTTCTCAGATCCGATGGTCCATTGGCTGGTGACGAGCTCTTCACCATTCCTTTGGAAGTATACGGTTTGGTTGAAGGTGTTTTCTGATGGTCCTAGGATAAGGGCCTCTCCAAGGGTTTTGTCAGTTGGTAGCACAAATCCACTCACTTTAGAGAGATCATCGCGGTCAGCCCTGATGAATGTCCCGATCATATAATCGAGACTATCGCTTGCGATTGTGAACCGTGTCGTTTGCGACTTATACGGGCTTGCCTGGCCAAAGAATGTGGTATAGTTTGGAAAATAAAGCTCGTAATTTGTCCCTTTCATAAGCTGATTTTTAAGGCCCTCATAATACCATCCAGGCATATTGATTTTGGTCACGTTGGCTTTGATGTCGCTTAGCTTATAGCTTGGGGCTGGAAATATATTCTCGCTTGCTGTTGTAGAAGTAGTTCCTTTAGAATTTCCCAAAACAGCAGCACTTGCAAATGTGATGCTGATCTGAACTTGACCAATCATTGAAGTATCTATGACGTTAATGTTTCCTTGCTGTAGGACACCTAAGAAATTTTTGATGAAATAAGTTGATCTGTCCTTAACAAGATTGCTATCAAGAGCTGTTGTGCTAACAAATCTTGCAAATCGTGCGTATGTACTAATGGTGCCATCATCATTGACAACGCTCTTGCTCGAGGGATCCACATTCAGACCACAGCATTGAGCGCGGCCCATAGCATCTTGGTTTAGTGCCACAATGTCAAACAAGATGTTCTGGATCATGGCATAATCGGTGATCACGGTGCTGAACCACAACGCCATTGAATTTTATTTGTATCTCTTGGATAAGACTGTAAGTGTTCCTCGGGAATCGGAGAGATGTCACAGATTGTGACCCAGATGCTCCTGATAGAACACCGTTTGTTGTCTCTCCAGTAAATTCCAAGCTAAAGGTCGACAGATCAAGCAATGAAGAGTAAGGCAACGTGATCTGGATCTTCTGGTTAGGTCCAACCGTGGAGGGCGTGGTAGGCGTGATTTGTATCTTGGTTTTCGACATGTTCGCTAACGAGCGCACCCGCCATTGTAAGTTAGTTGGAACGTACATTCCAGCCGTTTCAGGAGAGGGCCCAGACATTGCGGCTTGCGACATTGCGTTTTGAAACATCTTTGCTTTTAAAAGACAGACAGAAAAAAAAATAAGATTTCAAATTCTTAATTTAAGCCGTATTTTTTCCTCAACATCATCTCATAATGTTCAAGGCTGCTTGGATGAGAAATAGTATTTGCATGATAAGCCCTCGATAGTATCCCCCATAATCCATACTTAGTGATGAGGTACTGCGATAGCTTATGGATAGGATTCGAGAATGAATGTTCAAGCTGTATCTTGTATTTTTCAAACAGCTCGATGAATCGAATCTGCCTGTTATAAGACATATTCGAGAACCTCACAATCTGGTCTCTTGTCCAATCGCTCAAGGCCACAGAGGGTATCTCTACTTGCTGGCCTGGAGATCTTGAACCGGCTGCCGGTGAGTTAACTTCATCTTGTGACATCGGTCCGCTGTCTTCAAATTCCGACTCGTTAACTCCTCCTGATCCGATGCCTAAGGCTTGGTTCATAATAGAATCGGTCTGATTAAACGATTCACGCTCTGGTTTGATGACATCTGGGGCTAAATCTTGAACATTGTTGTCATCATTCGGTGCTAATTGTTGACTGACCACATCAGGATTGTATTGCGTTGGGATTTCAGTGCTCCCCTGTGGTTGGGTTGCCGCAGCACCATATCGAGATGGAATCCCTAACCCCTCGTTATTGTACATTGGCAGGCTAGGGGCCTTGTTCATATATGGTATAATGTTTTGTATGTGTGCCTGACTGGGTGGCTCAGGATCATCAGTGTTGGATTGGAGCTCTGGAATATATTTATTCTTCGATTGCTGATTGTTCTCATTTTTAATATTCACCTCAACATTTACACCTGTCTTCCTATTTCTTACTTTGGTCTTCACAGTCATTTATCTTATTGATTGAAATTATTTTTAACTACAATGATATGAACATCCTATGAAAACAGCTATATACTCAACTCCTTGGTAAGTCTCATATCGATGCTTAAAATTCTTGTAATACCAATCTGAATCTTCATCAATAAAATCAACTGAACAGCTTGTCTTGGCTACTGTATAATTATGAAGTAAATCATCAGATTGCTTCATACTGTATCCCTTGATTGGACTTGAACATAGATAATCGCCATTCTCTATGGCTTCAACGCCATAATTACAGCACCATATAGCCCCCTCGCCGACCGCATTGATCATAACTCTATTGTTGTCAAGCTTAGGATATGAATAATGCCACCTTCCAGTCTTATAGATTCTTTTATCTCCTCCCTCCACGTTGGAGATCACACCATACACAGCTTTGTCACATTGAATGTCTGTTAATTTGATTATTGGCAGCGAGCTATCAATGCGAATGTTAGAGCTAAAATCATAATCTGTTCTATTCAAGTCTTGATAAAATCCAGTGGTAGAAACCAATAGACCCTGATAGTAGTCAAGGTTAGATGTTATCTCATCTAATAGATTTGAGGTTACAGCAATACAACGATGAGAGCCCGTGAAGTCTAGATCATCATTGGCATTGTCATTATGTCTCAACCATTGCTCACCTGTATCATCTAAAGCACCATATTGAAACATCAAATCATTTGTTGCGCTGGTTCCTCCAAATGATACAGAATTCAATAATTTATAAATAACCCATTCTCCACTATCAACAGCACCAGAACCACCCTTGGGTATATAGATACGGTCCAAGCTTATTCCAGTACATTTGACATAATTATCTGTTATTCTTCCCCATTCTCCAAGATTTAAATAACCTTGATCATTCATTGAAATACCTTTGTAAATAGCGCATCCACTAGATCGTCCATAAAGTCTTGTCCAAGTGCTGTCACTCTGTAAAATTTCAGTGCCTGAAATATGATAGCTCCCATCTGTTTCAATGTTGCCAGTAGATGAAATTGATGAAGGACTAAAAGCACCACAACTCAATGTGCCTGAACAAGTAACATTTCCTATCAAAAATGATGTTAGGCTAACATACAAAGTGCCTGTGACCTCCAAATCATCGGCATAATCTGTGGCGACTAGATTCCCATTGACGGTCAAATCTCCCGAGCATGTAACATTACCGGTAAAGGATGATGTGCCTGTTACACTTAGATTATTCCCACAGCTTACGGCTCCGGTTAAGGTTGATGTGCCTGATATGCTTAGATTGTTTGCGCAATTGATATTAGCAGCAAAATCAACATCAACGGTTATAGTTCTAAAATCAAAATTGGTTCCATGTGGATAAATCTTAATAACCTCTCTTTCTTTTACAAGAGCACCATATCCAGACATACCAGTTGCTGAAAATCCTTGATATGGATTTGCTTTATCACCTCCAAGTATTGATATAGAAGCATAAGTTGCTCCCTTTGTGATTGTTTCAGTTGCTGAACCACTTGCCCAAGTTGATGAAGTGTGAACATGAAAAGCTAAGTTTGTTTTCCTATTTGTTCTTTCATCTGATGGTGTGCCTAAACTGTTTTGAATAACCAAGGATTTGCTTTCAATCCACGTATTATTGTTTGCTTCATCAAGAGCAACATCAATATTATTTTTGTACTTCCATCTATTATTGACATCGTCATAAATGCCCCATTCATTATTGCCATCATGCGTAAATACAACCCTGCCATCAATGCTGTATCCTTCCCAATTATTAGTTCCTGAACCATTGATTTGAACACTGCCATATTGACCTGAGACAGTTGATAAATAGTTTGTATCGTTGATGTATAGATCCCCAACTCCAATGTTCAACCCATCAATATATTCCTTGGTGTAATAGTTCTCGTTAGAAGTGTCAATCTCGGTCTTGGTGTAATAATTGGGTAAAACAACATCATCAAGAAACAATGTCTTACCTTTGAAGATTGTTTTGTAGTCTCTCAAAACATTGATCATCTCAATAATACCACCAGAGGTTTCGCTTTCCTGTAGTGTAAAACCAAACACATGTTCATCTAATTCTGTTTGTGTCAGTTCATTCCCTAGTGTTAAGATCTCCTCGCCTTGGAATGATATAAGCCTGCTATCTAATTCAGTAGTAGGGTTTCCTTCAACATCGATCTTATATGTGCTATCATATACATATGCTTCGCCAGCAGCTAGATTGAGTTGTGATCCATCTGTTGTGTTGCGTGAATATATCTTGATTGCTCTGTCTTGATGAAGTCTATGTATTATCTCTGTCTCTAACAGATTTATAACAGTGCCAATAGCAAGTCGTAAAACATTGATCCAGTTCAATAAAAACAAGCCATCGGCCTTGCTAGTATTCAAGGATGAAGCTATCAACCCCCCAACAAAACCAGCACCAGCGGAAGCAAAGTCGCCCAGCCCAGAGAAGATATCGAATGCGCTATTTGCTGTATCAACTATATCTCCAAGATTGGCTTCATCATCTGGGTTTGATATGCTGTTAACACTATCTACTAGTCCATTGATGCTATCAATGATGTCCTGAACAGTAATATATGAGCCATCTTGCTTTCTCAAACTGATTGTATAGGTAGCCGCTTGATCATCATAGAGCAATTGGATCAGATCGGAGTCATTGTTGAACAGTGCTGTCAATGTTTGATTGTTGGCATTCTCAGCTAGGTTTATGATAGATTGTAAGGTAGATATTGCGTTGGAGTTGTTTTCAACATCACTTGATAAATCTGTTATTGTTGATTGTAAGGTGTCAATGCTCGTGGTGTTGGCATCAACACTTGTTTGTAGGGTGTCAATGCTCGTAGTGTTGGCTTCAATGCTCGTTGCGTTGGCTTGAATGTTCGCTGCGTTGGCTTCAATGCTCGTTGCGTTGGCTTCAATGCTCGTTGCGTTGGCTTCAATGCTCGTTGCGTTGGCTTGGATATCATCTGTGTTTGTACTAACAACACCCTCCAATGCTTTATGTGCCTCATCTAATTTGATGATAGCTGTTTTAAGAGAACTGATCTGATATTGAACTGTATCAACAGACAAGCCACTGATCCAGGTGCTCATTTAATTAGAATGAAGATTAATTAAAAATGGAGATAGACAGTTTCCTTTCTTATGCCAACACGGCACCGTTTTTTCCTATATGTATGGGTGAAGCTCGATCGCTCATAATAACTGATCTGTTCCTTAGTCAGAAGCTGGTTTTGAATGAAGAATTGTAAGATATATTGATTTCTAAAGATGACCTCAATAAGATCCTTGATGAATGTATTGTATTCTTTTTGTTTTATGCGATAGATATGTTGAGCCTCATTCATTTATACAATATCAATAAAATAATCTGAGTGGGGGTTCCGCCCCCCAACGGCGGTGGGAAGATAGAGAGAATGAATAAATACTCTATTGAATACCTGATGTGATGTAAGAGAGATTTATGAAAAATTATTAAGGAATCTTTGTGATAGTTGAGAGGATAGGGGTATAGTTGGCGGAGACGCGGAGACGTTACCCCTAAATATTTCATATGGCGAGTAGGGGTTGGATCTAGGGGTATAGAAAAGTTTGGGCTAACGTCTCCGCGTCTCCGCCAACATCCATGATCATCATCTAGTACATAGAAGACTAGAAGTGGAGAGTGTGGAGGGTTTGGAGTGTGGAGGGTATGATTTTGTTTACCCCTTTGAAATTATTTTTATTTTGATGAACTCATCATAAACCCTCCACACCCTCCACACCCTCCACAATACATATATTTAGACTAG